GTCTGGGAGCCGATATGCTTTACACAGAGACCATTCGAACCATTAAAATCAACATGCTGCTTTACTTACATTGCCTAATGCACCATTTTCCAATCGTCAGACGCAATGGAGGATGGAGAGGCGAAGTGCAAAAGCGCGCCTCAGACAGACAAATAAGCTGGCGAACTAACACGCTCACTCATCAGATTGGGATCAAATTATGCTAATGCAATTCCTGGCTGCCCTGAACCAACTAATGTAGTTTTTCAAAGGAGTCTTTAGAGCCAGATGAACTAGCTACTAAAAAACAGGCTATCAAACACAACCAATGCACACAACGGGGACATGTTTAATGGTAGGTTAAGGATATAAACGAAAATCACTGCGTAGCGTGGTTAGCGAGGGCCAAACGGGCACCTTGGATTCAAACGTCACCAACGCCACCGTAGCAAAGCCTTTGGGATATCTTTGTAGAAATATAAATACATCGGACAGAAGCATCACAATTTTTAAAAAATGAAGCCGCAAAACAATGCTTCGGTACGACAAGTTGAATTAGAACTTAAGATAACTTGTGTAAAGACGTCGCAAACTTTTATACACTTAACGGGAAATGAACTCTACGGCAGAAGCAACACGTTTGAAATCTTAATTCCGAGTCAATGACAAGTGAAAAGCGTCGATAAATGCTTTATGCGTCAAAGCCACGTGCAAATAAAATGCGTATAGTTTCTTATACGTTTATGAAATTTGTCATCCGAATGCAAACTGCTTAAATATGTTATTCGTCGGGCCTTTTTGTCCTTATACATGCCTTCATACATACATCCATACCCTTATACATACCTTCATGCATACCCTTATATTCTTATACATACCCATCATCAAGAGCTGATAGAAAAATGTGCGTAAACAATATAACCATTTTACCGTTTGTTTGAGTTATCAGCGCTTGTTGTGGGCTCGTCCAGGGAGAATTTTCCTATTTATTTAGAAAAGATAAGAAAAGGCTCCAAGGAAGTGAATCAAATTCGGAAGAAACTCGCTCGTTGGCGTTGGCGTCATTTTGAACAATTGTTTCGTCACTTTAGCTTTTCAACCGACCAGCTTATTTTACAAAACTACACCCCTGGTCCAATGCAACATTGAGGGAGACAAATAAGACAGGGGTCAAGGCCCATTAACATATGCAGCTCCACCGACATCTTCCTATCTTGGCCATAGGCCCATACTGGAGAACAGCCCACCCCCCATCCCCCCATAGACAGCGGGGGTCAGGCCGGCCGCGTCGGCGCAGGAGCTGTCAAGCCAGACCCACCTTGCCGCCGAGTTGGCCGGCGCCCATGGTCGACGAGCGGGTGCGGTTGGTGACGGGATGCCGACGCGGCCGCACCGAGCACGCCACTGGGGCGTGCCGGCGTGCCCGACGCTATCGGCCACCACTCCGGCCACTCCAGGTGCACACGCACGCCACCACTGGCCTCTGGCGAGCGTCACAGCCCTCTGGTGAGCATGACTTCCGGGGGCTACAGCCCTCTAAACATTTTGGCGACTGTTTATTGCCATTGTGGTTCAGATTTAGAGCAATAAATCACAGCTGCCACTTGCATCTTGTGACGTTTGTAAGCACCTAACACTTGGCTGGACAAATGTTGATACCGGTTACGTAAAGGTGTTTATCTCATGATGACATTCATATTGAAAGTAGTGCATGACAAATAATTCCAAAGCCACCCACTATGCACGAAGTGAACTACTTACTTTCAGGATCAGTCTCTGTAGTTTTCACCGGAAATGGCTCACTGCGAACTCCACTCTCTCACTCAATCAACAGCGCACGTACCCTAGAAAATGGTCCCCGCGAAGGCTCAAAACTAATTTCACATTGCAGGTCCAATTAAAGACAATTCTGTACCCGCATGGGCGGCTGACACAAGCTTCTGTAAGGCAGCCGCTTTTTCGCCACACGAAGATACTACAGCTTTTTCATCGAGCTGCATGACGTAGCGACCATTTGGTAGGCATATTGACATTTAATACGTAATGGTCTGAAGACATTCATGGAATGGAAACGACCATGACCATGTTATAACAGCATTCTCCACCGAATACCATAAAAGCAACACAGGCGGAATGATGCTGTTGCTGTGTGGGTAGTATCCATCTTTGGCGCTGTGGTACATCCCATAAGCTGTTGGAGGTTTGAGAATAAAATTAAACATGCCATTTTTCAGCAACGACAGGCAACGTCTCGTTGGCGTCTTCCCAAAAAGAAAAGTCAATGGTAGTGCGTGCGGGCGCCGAGGTACTCTCAATACAACGCGATGACTTGCAAAGGCATGGTCATGTGGGGACATAAAGTGACATTCAGTACACATGCAAAGGATGTATCAATACTAGCAAGAATATCCTAGATAATCTGTAGAGCCCAGAGGCCCCCGCATCATAAAGACGCATAATTCCGTCACACACACGCGAGAAAAGGAAGGAAATCTACGTCGACACATAGTCAAAGATCCAGCGTATGACGTTACTTTTGAAGTCGGTTTGATGACGCTCCGCTTGGTGGGAACCAGATCGCAGTTTAGTCGTGGAACATTCTGCTGCCCAGGTCAGGACGCGTGGGTAGTGCACTTTGGTACCCGACAGCTTTTATCATCAAAGAATGTGTACCAGATATTGTAATGATGAGAGTATTAAATATGTCGTGATGGAAAACTATCAAATATTTCAGAAGACTTTATACGCTAAAAACCGATATTTTACTTTCATGTGTTCTTCACATGACACGTGGGAATCGAAATTTATTCAACATATAACACTGTTTTGTATTCTTAAAAACAACAAAAAAACAAAAATTCGGGTTGATCAAAACGAGGAAGAATATCACTCAGATGCATTTTATGGGGTGGGAAGAGCCAAGTGCTAGCAGACCTAATTGCCTGTATCATGTCTTCGCATAGGACATACGAGTCATACCAAAGCGTAACAAATGAAGTTCGGCCGTGTTAGGTAGATACGAATCAGCTTTATTAATGCATAAATTATCCTCTTTTTTGTGGTGTTCCTCCCGTCTACAGGTCACGTGGCGCATGTCGTTGCGCAACACTTTTTGTGAAACTAACGACAGCAGCGGTCATCAAGGGCTCAGACTCCATGAGCCATGCGACCAGCTGAGAATCAAGCCCGGGCCTACCACGTGAAAACCAAACACACTTTCGGCTGAGTTACTTCACCAGTTTTTCTATTTCGCTACTTTTGACAACATTTATTCATCGTTTAGGAAGTCTTAAATGTCAATGCTGACAGGGCCACGATGGTTTACATGTTACCGAGCCGGCACATGCGGTAAGAACATGACCATCAGCTAAATTTACCATCACCTCAACGTGCTTCAATCAGGTCGCTTCCTGCCGAAGGGCTCACATCGTCACCTTTCATGTCAGCATGCATGTCGGCACGTCGGCATGTCGGCATACATGCCAGCACGCACAGCTCAGGCATTACCAAAGCATAATGAGCGTGAGCGTGATGCTTTCTTCTTTAGTTATTTCACTTAGTCTCTGTTGCATCGTTGTTAGACGAATGACAAAAATGGTTGCATAGCTACAGAATATAATCGTACATACACCAAAATATCCGCAAAAATGTCATGCAACTAAAAAAGCAAAACAAAAATCGAACAGGCCCTGAAGAGAGTGCGCTACGCTTGTTTGACATTTTTAACAGAAATAACCATGTTGAAGATTATTCAGTGCAGTTCACAACCCTGCTCTTCTTAAGACCCGAACCCCTCCAGTTTCTGAGCACACGGCCGAAAAGATGTGCGGACTATTTCGGAGAGACTATTTGAAGGTCACCCAGGCATCCATGGCGTCATAATAACGTCATCCAGAGCCCGCCATTCTATTTGCCATGCGACGATCAACGCCAATAAATGTACAATTGTCGAGTCGTTCATATCCGGCATCCGTGAGCACTATTTCCAGATCTAACGGCCGACAATTGGCTGTCATTCAATGTAGTGCGAGGTACGTTAGCGTGATCAAACAACGACACATTGTGGGACATGTTTCTTGAATAGAGAAATTGTATTGTCTTATACAGTCTTTTGCACTTAAAAGTATACCGCTAGTTCCAGGTGGGCTTATTTCAGCATATCTGATGTTTACTTCAATATCTTTACATCTGGAAAATTCCTTTCAACGGCATAAAATCAAAATAATTTCCCTCATCCACATTGTCCAGCTCTGTTTCCATATGCGTTCCTGACATCTTAAAATCATGGACAAGCTTTACGCCACCATTACGAAATAATCATACATGATAAAGACAGCGTTGTCCGAGAGCAGGACTCGAAACAGATGCCCCTCGTAGCCTCTCCGTCGTACCTCTCCGCCGTAGCTTCTCCACTTAACTGCCTGATGTAGCCTCAACACGCAGCTTCGCTTTTGATGCATGCCATATGTTTTGCGAGAATGGATTGCATTGATTGAAAGCTTCGAACAGCCGGGGGCGGAAATACTGCTCTGTTCCCCAATGCCTTTGGCTTAGATGGTGTGGAAAACAAATTGCACGCTCTGTTCCTGTGTCCACCGCTGTACGTTCATACGAATCAAACGTAAACTGAATGTGATCACCATTGATGCACAAAACGGGCTGTTATCTACTTTATATACACTTCGGTGGAATATACTCAAAAATCGGCGGACGCCGTAATAATCTTGAGCAGCTTGTCATTTATGTCGTCACCGTCACATCCGAATGGTGGAGGAAGCTAGCCACCCAAATAAATACAGTTTTCGGGAAGAGGACACTCTCCGAAGAAGGTTTCGGGAGCGCCATCTCCGCCGGATGGCAGGCTCTGCCCTCTCTGAGCCTGGCCTGTGGGCCGCATCTCCCCACCTCCTCCCCGCCCGGACTACGTGACCCGCCTCCTCTCCATCTGGGCTGCAAGGCCCGCATCCTGCCCACCCGGCCCACAGGCACAGTCGCCTCCTTTCCCGGATTACAGGCCCTACCTCCTCCTTGCGTCGGGCAGCAACGCCGCCCGTGATCGGCCGCTCCTCCAGCTTCACACCGCTCAGGTCCAGGTCCTCCCGCTCGGCCATGGGTGCCTCGTGAGACGCCATCGGCTCGCCGGCTCGACAGGCGCACTGACTCGGCTCGACGACACGCTCGGCCCGCTCGCTCGCCCACCGGCTCGACCCGCTCCGGCCACTGGCTGACTCGCTCAGGTCGCCGCCGTGGGTCACCGGCGGCTCTTATAGACTGGCGCGCCGGCCGGACGGCGGCATCGATTCCCGGCGCGCCGCTGTCGCCGCACAGCGGGGGAGGCGCCGCCGCGTGCGTGCGCCGAGCAATCGATGGCGCTCGAACGGAGGCCGACGGTGGTGGCGGCCGTCTTCGGACAGGTGGCTGTCGGCCGGCCCGGCGCGCGCTCGGCAGCCGCGCTCCGGGCCGCACCGCCTGCGCCCACGCGGAGCTGACGTCAACGCCTCACGTGCAGCGTCACTGTCAGGCCGTGCACAGGTGTTGTCACGCACCGCGTGCAGCGTCACTGTCGGGCTGGGCGCGGGTGTTGTCACGCGCCGCGTGCAGCGTCACTGTCGGGCTGGGCGCGGGTGTTGTCACGCGCCGCGTGCAGCGTCACCATCAGGCTGTGCAGCGGGTGCTGTCACGTGCCGTGGCGTCACCGCCACCTCCCAGCAATCACCGTTTCCTCTCCGGTGTACGGTCCCGCTGTCAGCTCGGCACCGCATCCTCGGTGCAAGCAGCTTTACAGATCTTGAGTCGATTTTAGCTTTTGAGCCGTCCGCGCCCTCTTCCGTGTCCGGTTTATATTGCGCGCTGCAGACGGTGTTTGTGACCGTCTGTTACTAAGCTCGCTTCCCTTGCATGGCTGCAATACACAGCTTTTCCCATGACGACTGCTGTTATCTTTAAAACAGTAGCCGTGCTAGAAGAGAAGCCTGTGCACTTTATGCATTCCCAGCGCTCAGCAAGATAGTATTTTCCTATGCATTTTAACGCCAACTTGTCCTCTCTGCTGGGCTGATACTTGTGGCGTCCTTCTTCCAAGCGCTGTTGGGCGTGCCTGTTTTTCCCAGCAACGTCGCACAGATCGCCGCCGGCGGCCCAGTCAGTCGGCGGAGATCAGCCACGGTCGGGATTCAGGACGGGACAATGTGGAACAAAATTCTCACAAATTTTTGTCTTTTATTTCAAGTTTGGCTTCTAAGAGTCTAAGCAAAGTTTTGAGAACGAATCATTCCTATAATGAAGTGAAAATTATGATTTTACAAGCATCTCTCAGTTCAAGCTGACGTCTTCTTCAACTGCCGCTGCCCCGACGCTATAGCGGAGGGTGCTGTCATATTTAATCGACCTACTATATCTTTGTCGCATCTCCTACAATGGACATAACAGAATTGCACATTCATTCGTCGTACAATATAGGGTCTTCCTTTCATAACATTTCATGTTAAAGGTAAAATGTTGGGCAGTTGTCATGCCGTAACAGTCAAGGCCATCAACAAAGTCATATCAATCTGTGGAAAATGGTGAGACACTCTGCGTCTTTAACTCAAAGATGGTTTTCTCGTAAAATTTAATGCCTTTACATCAAAGTTTGCACTCAGTCGGAAGGTACAAAACATTCATAGCCTACAAAAACATCGCTAACAACTTGCATCGCAAATTCGGTTTCCGCCAAATTCTTGCCAGGCCAGGCCTTCAATCTAAGCCAGAACGCTCGACAAACCCCGCTTTCGCGATGTAAGAGCGACTCCTGTCAGTCGTGCAAAGCACGACAGCTGGCCTCAGGTGTTCGCACACGTGGCTAACGACAAACCTTTCAGCGGCGAGCGGCGAGTACCTGCCTCGGTCCCCACTTGCGGCAGCTACCATCACAATGCATGCGTGGCAACTAGCCATGGTCGCGAAATGCGCCTAAATATCGCCAATAACAGCACAGTTCTGGTCATAACAGTGTCAGGCTAAGCCAGTGAGCGTGCCACTATTCTGTTTTGAAATCGGAATTGTACGCATGTGCAGGCAGCCTACGCTAGCTGCATGCTAGAAACGTGAGCCGTCGTGAACGAGGCTTGATGGACGAATGTTGTACGATTTGCGAAGACAGGGATAAACGTTGGACCAGGCGCTTCCAGTGTTGAATGGTTTGAATCCTACTTTTGAAGGGAGTGTTGCACATTTGTATGGGGTTTTGAACTTAAATATCCATTTTGAAGATTATTCCGTGCAGTTCACAGTCCTTCTTAAGGCTTAAGTCGCTCTGGTTTTTGAGCTACACACCCGCGAAGACGTGCGGACGATTTCGGAGGCACTTTTTCGAGGTCATCCAGGCATCCATATCGTCATGATAACTTCACTCCAATCATGCCATTTCATCGTTCATTCGGCGATGGAATGGTCAAGACAAGACAAATGTAATTGTCAATTTGTTCAAACCTGGCGCTCGCGAGCACGATTTCCAAATATGACGGTCGTCATATGGTTCTCAATGACTGCTGTACAAGGTGCGATGACGTAATCAAACGACAACGCATTGAGCGGGCATATTCACCTAAAACAAAAATTTCATTTTGTAGAGCAGTCTTTCCCACCCAAAAGTACACCATTAGTTATAAGTGAGCTCATTTCATGATCTCTGATTCTTGCTTCAAGATCTTAAAAAGCGGATCGCTCCTCTTTAGAAATTCCATTTACCCCCCCCCCCCCTCCGAGAATGCCAGCTAAAACGCACTTATACGGTGCGAGGTGGCCGAGATGACAGCAGGCGCGAGTTTTATTTTCGTGTGGATGGTATCAAACACCGGACAAATTAATGGACCTGCCTAATTTATGGCTGACGTCCATGCTGCACGCGCAATCCAAGACTGCGCGCGCCGCTGCAGCTAAGCGCTGGCTGGCAGCCAACACCTCCGCAGGTCACGGCGGCCACGGCAGCGACGGCGGCCAGCCACGACAAGGCAGTCACGGCAGCAGCGGCGCTGCTACATTCATGGAACGCCTACATCAATAAGCTTTGCTCATCACACCTAAACGCGCACAAATGTACTCACAACTACGCAAGGCTAGAGCCTGTGTTGCACGGCGTTGTAAATACTGGTATGCACACCCGGGAAGCAGGACTGCGGGACGCTTGGTCTTTGACCAAGCCTTGTGACCAATCGCAAGACCTCACTGAGACCGATCTACATGCCCCTTCACGCCTGTTTAAAAACGTTAACCGCCGCGCTCCATCACTTGCAGCGTGGCATTGCCAGTGAAGGGGGTCGCATCGATCAGCTCCCCCTATTCGTGTCAGCCTGTTCTATGAAAAACAGCGAGCTCTGGCGAGATTGGAATGACTCTGGGAATGCGGAACTTTGCCGGTGTTGAGAAATTCTAGCTCACATCATAAACATTGAAGCCGCTGTCGATTTACCAGCCGAGCTTTGGCGACTCAATCCCTATGACATGTTTAGTATGGTGCTGAATTTCACACCAGTGCGATGCTTTCTTAAACCCCACTTCGATGCGAGAGGGGGGGGGGGGGATTCTGCCACCGCTCTCTTATCGCCAGACCACGGAGGCTAGGCAACTGAGGTTTGGTGCCTTCATTACTTAGAATCTGGCATAGCCGGGCGCAATGTGGACAGTCTCCATCGATTATAGCAGCCCCAGGCCCCATCTTGTAACGCTGTGAGGACAATGGACGATCAGTTCATAGATGGGCGCCTGCGGGCTGCGTCCCGTTACTAGTGCCGAGATTCCATTGAAATAAGTTTTTGTATCACATTTATCGCAGCTAACCCCTGATCACGTACATCAAAGACTGGGTTGACTAGGTGGATACAGAAGCCGCGCAAGGAAAACAAAGTCATGGTAAGCCACTGCGGCTCGGGTTTCAAGATCAGTGCGCTTCGCCCACACATCTGTTAGCCTGTTGCCGGCCATGTCCTCGGTGCGACATGAATGAATGCAGGCGCACGCATGCCTGCTTTGGTAAGCGACGGCGCTGATTCCTAAGAATGCACAAAAAAGCCTGCTGCATCGTGTGCACAATCTGTTCGCATTATGTATTCTTGTCTCCGGCGGTTTTCATAGAATGTCCTGTTCCTTTGGTTGCCGCTATGCTTGCTAGCACACGGGGGCGACGTGATGATGACTACCAGGTGCGTGTATGGGTTATAAGAACAAACTGATCGGTGAACCAGTTTTATGAACCGCAGCATGGGGCGAACCGCTTACAGCGTTGACGGCAATCAGTCAGTGACCTTCCGTCCCGCTCCTTTCCCCTTTATCAGCGTATGCATGCGGCAGCGTGGTTATTGCCAACGCCTGAATAACTCCATGTTATCCGCCTCAAGAAACGATCGTCAAGCAATGGGGACTCACCATGCTGAGCCAGGCCCTCGGTCGGAGCTGTGACGGCGCGGCGACGACCCGAGCTGTCCCTCTGCACAGCCAGAAGTCGACACTGCCGCTGCCGGCGCCCGGCTGCCCCTGCCATGCCCCCCCCCCCCCCCCCAACGGCAGCCGGTCCTGCGCAGGCGGCCGCCGCCACTGCCAAAACGCGCTATTTCGGTTGGGGGCTGCGCGCGCGCGCCGGGAAAGCGGGGGCGTGGCGGCGCACGTGACCTAGGGAGGATGGGTGACGTCACAGATCCGACAGGACGACGCCGCCGCCGCCAGCCTTTCGCGGTATAGCTCGTGGTCAGTGGGCGTACCCAGAGAGTCGCGTGGTTCGCGTCCTGCAGCCCTGTACCACGCGCGCAACCAAAGTTTTGGCAAGGGGGGGGGGGATACAGGGTTGGCAAGAGCCCTTTGGTGGTGAAAGGCCCGCCAAAAATCATCGGAACGTGGGTATGTTTTTTTCTTAATGTGGGTATGTTTTCATGTTTTTATTTTTACTTTCTATAAGAAGCCAGAAGCTACCAGAAGCAGAAAAGAAGCCAGAAGCTACCGCAAGGTCAATTCTGGATGCTTTGAATAAAATAAACTGCTTGAAACGACTGCAAAAAATAAATCACACGTGCTCTTCATTTTACAACGTTTTAATAAGCTCTTTTTAATTCTATAGACTTAAGAAGTTTTATCAGAATTTTTATCTGGGTTCTACAGAAATGCCAAGCACCCCGCAAATGCAGAGTGCAGATCGAAATGAGTCAAAAGTTTGTGTTAACATAGCTAAGCCATGTCTGTCGGGAAATGTTTAACATTTAGTCGGAATCCACTAGTGATCAACTT